TCACAAATCCAAATGGGATTGAAGGCAGCAAGGAATGGACAGGACTAAGCAACATCACTGTTGAGAAACAGGAAAAGTCCTGTGCAGCCTCCAGCCCTCTGCATGGCACAAAGAGAAATCAGCAATGGAGGAAGAAGTTGGGAACAGATAATGCCATGGAAAATGTGGATTTTGAAAGAAAACTGTCATTCAATAACGGTGTTTGAAAACTTGGAAAAAATAATCACAGGTATATTATAGTGATGAGAAGTAATTGTAAAAATATCAGCTCAATCCCATCTTTCTTTCTTCTTTCTTTCTTTCTTTCTTTCTCTCTTTCTTCCTTCCTTCCTTCCTTCCTTCCTTCCTTCCTCTCTCTCTCTCTCTCTCTTTCTTCTTCCTTCCTTCCTTCCTTCCTTCCTTCCTTCCTTCCTTCCTTCCTTCCTTCCTTCCTTCCTTTCTTTCTTCTTTCTTTTTCCTTTTTACAGTGCTAAGTATTAAACTCAGGGCCTTGGGTCTACTAAACAAGAGCTCTACAGTGACTGAGCTATATCCCCAGCCCTTGGTGCTTTGAGACAGGGTCTAATTGTGTAGCTAAAACTGGAACTCCAGCTTTTCCAGCCTCAGCCTCTAGAGTACTGGGATTAGAGACTTGCTCCAGAACACCCAGATCTGCTTTAGCAAACACATACCGTAAGAATTAGAGGTTAAGAGGAAGTTTCTTTAATAGGTAGATTTTTTATTTGCTTACTTATTATTACTATATTATTATTATTATTATTATTAACAGGATCTCACATAGCCCAGGCTGGCTTCCAATTCTGGTATAGCTGAGGCTGGTCTCAAACTCCCAATCCTCCTGCCTCTAACTCCCAAGTGTTGGGATTACAGATGTGCCTTATCACACCCTTCTTCGGCTCAACTATCTTTTTTTTTCCCAAAAATTAAAAAAAATTTTTTCTATGTGTATTGGTGCTTTGCCTGCATGTGTATCTGTGCATCATGGGTGCCTGTTGCCCAAGGATGTCAGAAAAGGGCACTGGATCCCTGAGAACTGTGGTTATAGACAACCGTATCTGCAATGTGGGTGTTGGGAATAAAACTCAGGTCGTCAGTAGTGTAGAGTAGGCAGTGTTCTTAACCTCTGATCTATCTCTTCAACTCTGGGTTGGCTATTTTATCTACACTGTCTGTCCAAGTCTTCATGAGAACCCAATCAGGGTCTATTTTACTTTTCAGGAAACAGGCTGAAGGTGTTAGGTCCTTGCCAAACTTACATAACTGTTAAGGGTTAGAAATGACTGAAGTGGTGTGTCTTCAAACCTACGCTTGAAAAGGAGAGGGGGAAGGGGGAGGGGGAGAGGGAGAGGGAGAGAGAGGTGGGGAGGGAGAGAAAGAGAGAAAAGAAAGAAAAAAAGAGCACCGCCCCCTTTCCCTTAAACTACATCCATGGCCTCCCAGAAGAAAGACTTTAAAAGAGCTGAGATGCCACGGGCGGAGTGGTCTGCATCTCTGCCGTGTGGGCAGAGTGGTCTGCACCTCTGGCTTAGGAGAGCACTTTCAAAGTTCATGAAAGCCCCAGACTGGTGGGTGAGAACCTGACTGCCGCCTATAAGAGCATCAGAGAGACTAGGGAAGAAAACCAAATAGCTGTTTGATGTTGAGTTTTCTTATCTATGTTTTATAGCACCCAGGAAGACAGGTCAAATGATGCTCTCAAGAAGGCAAGTGCTCATTCTTCAAGATTGTTACGTTAAATTGTAACCTCTACTTCATTAAAAACAATTTTTTTTAATTTTACTTTTCTAAAAAAATTTTAATTCCAAACACTAATTCTCAGACTTAGAAAATTAATTCATTGATTTCATTTTTTGTGAAAATAAATTTTTTTTCATTTATTGCTTCATTTCTGAACCCATGATCTGTTGCACTCTGACCTCCTACTTTGTGCTTTATTAAGTCACCCAATTAACAATGACTGTAGTTGACAACAAGCTCTGGGATGCTAGCTTATTTTTCAAGACACTTTACATTTCCTCTGGTGTCTGACAACAGAAAGGGATAATATAGGAAATAGTTTCAATGACGAAAAAGAGAAAGAAAAAAGGCAGCATATAACTGATAGAGCCCTAGGTTTGGGGAGGTGGTTTCTGGCCGGGTTCCTAGAGCCGGTTATTGGCTGTTTAGTACTGATTATACTTGCTGGCTGATGCATATTTTATAAGGCAGGAGGGAGAAGTGAGATCTTATTTTGGATGTCTGCCAAGTCTAAATCTCTTCCCTTGATGTCCTGGCTCAGCTTGCGGCTGCCTGTGGCCGATCGACTTAACCTAGGGTGCAGACTCCAACTCAGTGTTTTATTTCCCAAACTCTTTTGGCTGGTGTCTGATTCCTGTGAACAGGACCGTGCGTTTTGCTCCAGGCACTCAGACTTTTCAGCTGCGACCACAAGCACTTCTCTTAGACATTAAGCTGTGAACCGGTCAGCAAGCATGCAGTTAATCCTACAAAACCCTGTGCCGTGGCACCAGCATTATCATTACATCAAGGAAATGCTGCTGCTTTGTAAAACTGGTAATGTATTTAAGGTGCCTGGGATGAGGGGGGAGGGGGGGTTTCAGAACTTAGTCTTCCAGGCACCCAGGACTGAAACTTCACTCTGTGCATTGTTAGGCTCCTTTTGCCTAACCGTGTAGACCTTGTTCCTGCAATGTCCCATATGACATAGCTTCTTAGAGTCACTTAACGCTATTCACTCAGAGGAAAGCTGCAAGTGACTCCTCCTGGTCTGCGTGCACTTCCTTACCAGATAGCTACCATGCACCCTTCGATCTTTGTGTGACCTCTTATTCCTTGTAAATCCCTCTAACCGTCCATCTTTTGAAATTCTCCTGGTCTCCATCACAGTCTGGAGGAAGTCTTAATTGCCTTTCACAAAGCCTACCACATGTTCCTTCACTGGATAAAGACATTCTAGAATTTTCTTGTGATAACATGTTCCAATCTGTGTTGTAATCACATGGTAATCTTCCTGTCTCCCCTTATTGGAATTCTGGGGTTACAGACGCACCCTGCTGTCATTTCCATAGGACGCTAGTCCTTAAGGGTTGAGATGTGGATTGCTATTTCTGGACAGTTGGGAGGTAGGTAGCATAGTGCACAAAGAGTCTTGCTTATAAGTAAAGAATTTGAGTTCATTGTTAGGTGGTCCTGTTGCACTCAGTATCTTCAAGCAGGTAAGGCGAGGGAGGGGGAAAAGGCTGGAGAATATTCAAGAGATTAACAGAGAGAGATCCCAGGAGGGGAGTGGGAGGGAGGAGATGGATGGAGGAGGGCCTGGGGGGAGGGTGAGACCTGAAATTGCCGAAAAGAAGACAGGGTGTTTCTACAGTAGGGTAGAAACAGTAGGAAGAGGAAGCTCGGCTGTTTCAAAATAAAACTTCTTCAAACTTACGGTGGCGTTTCTTTGAAAATTTCCCATCTCAAGGCTCTGTGTGGTGACTAACGCTCTCCTGAAAGTTAGTTACTCTGGATGAGTTCTTACCCTATATTCCCATGCTGCTGTGATTGCTAGAGGTCACCCCTGAACTTATCTCAATTACAGTACACGGCAATAGGCCTGCAAACTACCTTTCCCAATTTAACGGCTTTTGTATGTTAAGGTTTAGTTGCCAACACAACCTGGAATGGACGGTGAGAAATGATTCTACTGACTGGAAATTAGAACCCGGAAAGGAAGCCATCCCAGCAGCAGATTTTCTCCATGGCAAAGCTGTGTCTTCATCTGACTCGTTCGCACCAAGCTGCTGTGTGATTTCATGGCCTTCGTCTCAGAAAGAAACGGTTGAAAAAGCATACAGTGACACTCGCTGCTCCCTCTGATAATCAAATCCAGATTCCAAACTGGTGTTTGCAGACAGGCCAGTCCTGGTGGTCATTATTCTACATAAGCCCCCTAAAGCATTCTCAGAAAAAGCCTAGAGATGCGTTTTAAAACTACATTTGGTTTTAGGGAAAAGTAAAACATCAAAACATTTTTAAATTGTGAAGCATTGACTGGGTTTTCCATTTGTTAAAATCTTTCTGATACGAATTACATGTAATTTCCCCCTTAAGAGTGTAATACTGCTAATTCTCGCCATATGTGAGCAATTTGTGTTTGACCTTTAACGAGTGTCCTCTAGGCAGATGACGTGCCATCCTAGAGCAATGCCACAGCGTCATTTCACATGCACACAAAGACTTGAAAGCTCCATAAAAATAAACGACCCATGCTACAAGAGGCATTAGCCAGCAGAAGAGCTATTTCAGCCCTGTAAACTTCAATGCCCATACATTCAGAAACCTCACTGGGTCACTTGAGTGCTAAATTCATAGGAACAAAATGGCAGATACACATGTTTTATTTGTTAAGTTGCCAGCTTTGAATTCTGGGTAAAGGTTAGGCCAGAAAAAGCTACTCAAAGTCACGTGGACAGTGTATATTCAAAGGTAGTGTCTCTTTCCAATGCATGATCTTAGGTGCTACAGACACATTTACTATTAAGCATCATGTATATTTAATAGCATAATGTCTACTTTAGTGTCCTTAAAAGCCTGTAGTCACTTTACAGTTTCCATTATTGAAGAGCCGATGTTCAGTTCTCCTGTAATTTTGTAAAGTGCAGGCAACCCACAAGAGCGTCTAGATTTAGTTTGTAGCCCCATGGGACTATGGTAATTATTACGAAATCATTAATTCTACCTCAGCACTTCCAGCTGTCAGGTACATGTAACAGTAATTGCAGTTAATGAATGCTGCTCAATTTATTAAATGTAAAATGAAAACCAGTATTATTTCATATGCAGCACTGAAGTATATTAACATTTATCATTTTTGTGTACCATGTTGAATTATCCTGTCCTATATATGATATATACCCAGAATATATTACCGAATATTTCTAGAACCTTATCAAAAAGTGGTCCAGGGACTTCTATCTCTCCATCTAAAAGAGAAATCAAAACAATTAGTACCCAAATTAATATTTAGTCAGCATCTATGTTTATGTGGACCACATTCAGCTTCTGTTTTGGAGAATCAAAGTTCTTTCTTGGGCTCCCCTCCCTCCACAAGTCCTCACAAGAATGATGGAAACTTCCAGTTGTTTGCGATGTTCATCTTGTTTCTTTCTCATGGGTTTTGCCCGTAGAACTTTTGTGGATAGAGAGACACAGCCTGTTCGATGATTTTATGATACCAGGACCGTCCTTCTCATTTTCAGTTACTCAAAGTAAACCGCATAGACATTTGCAAGTGCAAAGAGGGTAGAATTTCTGAAAGTGTAGGATGAAATGGTGTCACTTTTAGGATTCCAGAGGCACCTGCTGCCAATAAGTATGCTCTGACCATCTTGTTGTCCAATGTAAACAGTCACAATTAGTTTATACCGGGGAATCATTAACTCTTTGACCCGGGCTTTAATAACCTAGAAATTGTTAAAAAAAAAAAAAGGGGGGGGGGAGTGGTTAGTCAAAATTGTTAAACACGAAAGAATAATTTGAGAAGGATGGAGGGGACCAGGAGGAGGAAGGCAGGGAGGAGGGGAGTGTAATGACGTGTGTGTGTGTGTGTGTGTGTGTGTGTGTGTGTGTGTGTGTGTGTGTGAAAAAGCCATAATGAAGCACATCACTTTGTAGACTAATTTAAAAAAATATTAAAGAAATTTTTTAAAAGAAAATAGCTCGTGCATTGTTGGTGCTTCCAGTATCTCCCAGAACCATAAGTAAACTCTCTTTCAAGTACTATCCTCATGGGGCAGGAATCCAGGAACAAAATAACAGCATTAGCAATAAGCTGACATTTTCTAAGATACAAGAAAGCTTGTCATCTGCAGAACAGAATTCAAGGGACGATTATACCTTATGAAAATCTATATTAAAGAAGGCTCCCCTTTAAAGAATGCTGTAACCAAGGTTATTTTTGTGTTTTTATAGCTAATGGGGAAAACATTCTGAAATCTCCCACAACATAACAGAATTGGATATTTATCCCGGAGTTTGTTATGAGAACCAAAGCAGAAGAGGCCCTCGTAAGTGCACTGTAGTTAGTAAAAGTAGAAATGTATTTAAAGACCAGGAGATGTATAATTGATAGCACTCAAAGAAGTTGCCGTGGCAAGGAGAAAATGGTCCTTAAAATGCTGCGTGTTTTCCAAAAATAATAGTGAAACGGTTTTTGGTTGAGGTGACGGCTTGTGGTAAAGCACTTGTACAAGTGTAAGGGCCTGAGTACAAGTCCCCAAGACCCAAATAAATTTCAGGTATGGTAGTAGGCACTTAGGATTAGAGCATACTTGCAGGGAGATGGGGGCAGAGACAGGACCATCCCAGCTAACCTGGCTTATGCTATGGTGAATGACAAAGAGACACTTTCTCAAATAAGGTGGAAAGGGAAGACTAACACCCAAGATTGTCCTCTGACCTCTACGTGTGCAGTGGCATGTCTATGCCCAAAGCCTCTCTCTCTCTCTCTCTCTCTCTCTCTCTCTCTCTCTCTCTCTCTCTCTCTCTCACGCACGCGCACACACACATACCATATATACCCATTATACAAATACACAGGATGATTATTTTTTAAGTGTCATGGAACTGGAAAGATGGCTCAGCAGTTAAGAGCACTTTCTGCTCTTACAGTTTGGTTCCCAGGACTCACACCAGGTGGTTCATAACTATTGTAACTTCAACTCTAGGAGAACTGAAGCCCTCTTCTGACCTCTTTCAGCCTTTGCACACATGGAACAAACACACATATATATACACACAAATAAATCAATAAAAATATAAATCTTATTTTAAAAAAGATGTGCAACCGTTTTGTTAAAGCAATAAATTAGTTACAAATTACATACATAATGATGGTTTTAGACAAAAGCTTATCATATACAACATGTACCTATACACATATGTAGTGTTTGATCTAATACCTATATTCATAAAATGTAAGTATGCCATTTAACTGATCTCAGATATTAATTCCTCCTCACAAAGAAGAAAGTGGGCTGTCTTTCAGCAAATGCTGTGGTTATAGCTAACACTGGGAAAACTGTACTGTACCTCAGAAATCGTTTTAGTCATCTGTCTGCAGAACTCAGGGTCATATTCTGCTTCTTGTAGGTGGGCAGTTAGTACATCTTTCAAAATACGATTGACAGTGGCCACGGGAAAATGTTTCGTGGGACCTGGAGATAAACATGGAATTCCTTTAGAAGTCATTTCTAACCACATCCACCTATCCTTATGAGGTTCATAAAAACAACACTGAAACCTGAAGCCCTTTAGTAATCTGGGTGAACTCCAGCTAAGGAAGGTACAAGTCCGAGTGCATGTCAGGCTTTTCTGAGCGGAGGAGGGTAATACGCTCTGAATTTATTGGGCTACCTGTCGAGTGCAGCGGGTTCTGCTGATCTCAGGACCACAAGCTTTTCCTGGTCAATTGCCGGTGCTGGGTGGCTGCTTACTTCAAAGCCTCGACACTTTTCTAATTGGCTCCTCAGTGTTTACACCCCACCCACACCGTTCTGGTCCATCACATTGCAGTCAGAAAATTTGTTTGGAAAAACCTAGATCTTAAAATGGAATTTTCCTCATGGGGTCTATAGTTGTGCGCCTACTGGTCCCGTGACCTTGTTTCAGCCACCATAACTCCCCACATGCATGCTGCTCCAGTCTCATGGGCTCCATCTGTCATTTAACGATGCTTGTGTGTCTTTACCCTTGCCCACTCTTTCAAATGGAGCACCGTTCCCCATCTGTTCAGTTAAGAACTATCTACTCAAGTTTCAATTCTGGCTCAAATGTCTTTTTCCAGGTACTCTTCCCTTTCGTATCTCACTGGGGGCACAAAACGCCTCTCACATCTCCTGGGTAAACTAGAGTGGAGGGAGGATGGGGAGGTGAAAATTTGAGGGTGCAAGAGGCAGGTTGGGGGCTGGACAGAGGTGGGGAGTAACAAAAGAAACGTTCCGATGGGGGCGCATTTCAGGGTTAGCAGAAACCCGGTGCCAGGGAAACTCCCAGGAATCCACAGGGATGACCCCAGCTAAGACTCCTAGCAATAGTGGAGAGGGTGCCTGAACTGGCCATCTACTGTAATCATATTGGTGAGTACTCTAATTGTCATCAGAGAGCCTTTATCCAGTAACTTATGAAAGCAGATGCCGTTAATTAATAATCAACCAAAACCAAACAACAACACAAAGAAAACACCTCTCACTTATTCCAGACACATGGGTCCCCTGGATCCCAACCCACTCGAAAACAGCTAAGGCATACCTGCAATTCTCTCCAGTGAAATCGCAGTAAGATCGGGGCCAGTGAGCTGGCTCAGGAGGTAATGGTGCTTGCTGACAAGACTGATAATCTGAGTTTAACCCCTGAGATCTACAAGGTGGAAAGAAAGAACCAGCTTCTGACTGTCCTCTGGCCTCCCTGTGAGAGCTGTGGTGCACCCGGCATGCTTATGTGCGCAAATGTATACACAGGAATCAATGTAATAAACATAATATACTGCTAAAAAATTGAAAAGAAATGTAAGCATGACAGGGTTTTATCCCCGTGAGAGTCTAATTTGATGCTTAGGGATAATTTCTGGTTTTAGTAGACTTAAACATCTTATAGATAATAATCACTGTACAAACAATAGTTACTGTTTACTGATCACATGCTATGTGTCAGGGACTGTAACAAGCATGTATTTACCTTATGATAGCTTTCTGTAGATCTTTGAGGGGACTCTCACAGTTATATCTGTCCCACAGATGGGAAAATAGAGGTGGAAGCCCAGAATCACATAGTAACAGAACTAGGAACGGATGCCCAGATTTATCTGGCTTTAAAATTTGTATTCTCAACCACATCTCATCCATTTTTGGATCAAAGCATCAGATAAGTGAGCTTCAGTGAGGTAACCCTAGAATTAGCTGCATTTTCCTTCTGTGATCTGCCCAGGCAACTACATGGCATACACAAGGTGCCACGGCTTAGTGTGTAGAGGCTGGATTATTGTTGAATCAATAAAGAGGAAGAGTCTGAATCAAGAATGCTATCCAATTCTCTTTTAGTAGTTAACATTATTCATATGCCTGTGTCAAGTAGGGGCTAAGGGAAAAAGGTGCATTAGAGTTAGGACAATTCCTAGAGGATTTAATGAAAGTCCCCTCTGGGATGTCTAAGAGAGAAAGAAGTCACAAGTGATAGGGTTGTTCCCTTCCACCAGAAGAAGCATGCTACCCCAGGCCTGAGCAATCCAGAAGGGAGCTCAGATTAGATCTCAGGAGGGCTGCATGGACATGGCTCCCTTAAGAGTACAATGTCCCTTGGCTGAGAGATGTAACCAGTCTGAGATGAAGCCGTGGCAGGGAGCCAGGGAGGTAAAACCTAGACCTCACACCCCTTTCATTCCTGCGGAAGTTTCGTTGGCTTTCCTCGAGAGAAGTTTACGGCCTATGACTGTAGTCCAGTGAGGTCAGCCTCCTAAGGCTCATTAAAGAGAATTTTTATTTTGATGATATAAGAATGGTTTAGTTCAATTTAAATCAGGGTAGGAAAGTCAGACATGGTGGTGCATGCCTATAATCTAAGCACTGGGGAGGTGAAGACAGGAGGATCAGGATTTCAGGGCCAGCCTTGGATACATAATGAGTGTGAGACCAGCCTGGGCTGTGTGAGACTCTGTTAAAAAAAAAAAGGGGGGGGGGGGGGGGGGGAATCAGGTGGGGAAGGAGTAAGGAAAAGAAAACATGATACAATGACTCTAACAGCTCAAACATCTGTTCAGCAGAAATCTCAAGCAGTTACCAACATGTGGATGACTAGTCCTGATCCCAGGGGTTAGAGACTATCAGAGACAAATTCCCCTATAGCAAGGTGCCCACAGATCTCTCTGTCACCTTCCTATGGATTTGTATAAGGTGTTCATTGTGCTCTACCCTTTAACTGAGGAGCTAGGGTAGTTGATGTCTTCTGGGGGGAGGGACAGTCTCTTTTCTTTAAGGATAGTTTACCATGCTCCATAGGGTGGTCCCCCACACAGGAGTACATGGACAGCACATATTGGAGTCAATGGGTTATTGGGGTTTGGGGTGGAGGTGGACCTGGGAGGAGGTTAGGGGAAGGAAGGAGTTGGCAATTAAGCTGATCAAAATACGATGACTGATGATATTCTCCAAGACTTAATAAAATATCTTCAAAAAGATTTCTACCTGCATACTCTTAAGTGAAGTCAAATTTGAAGGTGACTTTCCCCTTCGTGTTGAAAATACTCAAAAATCGTGCCACTTGGCCTGGGCTACATTAAATGGATTCTGTCATTCAGAGAGATACCCCATCCTTTTCCATCCCCACTCTTCCCACCAAGCACTCATATCACGTGACCTTACTTGACCAGTATTATTCCCAGGGTATCCGTTCTGCCTCGTGTTAGCCCACCTGTCCTATTATTGCTTTCAGAAAATGGGTAACTCTTCTAGTAACCAGATATATTGGTCAGCACAGTGCTCCCCTGCCTCCGCCCACCACGGGAGCAGCATCTACCCTTCTAAACGGATCCTCTTCCTCTTGTCTTCATGGAACAGGGAACTCTGTCACTGCCACCCATGAGCCCAAGGGTGGAGCACAGGTGATTGGCTCAGGGGTGACACAGCTCTAGGCTGGGCCCAAACAGCCTTTCCTTAAAAGTTTGATTTCAAAGCAGAAGTAGGTGTAAAAACAAACCAGCCTCTTGCTTGTAGGAAAAGCTGTGATTTTTAACCCTTAGGAACTGCCAGAGGCCACGATTCCTCCAGGTTGGAAGGAAGTCAGAAGTAGGGGAAGGGAGCCTGGTTCCCAGGAGCTCCCAGGGTCTGCTGCTGTGCCAAGTCCTTTCTGAACACTGCACATCCTTTTAGCTCACAAACATGATTCTGTCCTTAAAACTGTTTTCCTATACAGTAATGAAAACTCATTCTTTATTATATCCCAGTGGTCTTTTCCCTACCCATCCGGAATCATCTGTCACCACGCTCAGGTTGAGCTGCTGACATTCAAAGAGACAGAAACAAGGCAAGACAAGCTCCCAAAGCTTCTTAGAGCGACAACGAATGCAATCAACAAACTCTGTCCTCTTCGTTTTGTGACATTTTCCCCCCTAAGGAGGAAAATGTTTTAGATTTCAAAAGATCTGAAAAATGAGAATAAAACTTAAAAAGAAAAAAAAAACTAGATTAAAGGGAGAACTGCAAAACCAACAAGCTGTGCCACAACTTCCCCCAACGGGGCTAACAGGAATTCCTCTAAGTCTGGCCTGGTGGCACAAGCCTGTCATCCCATACTTGGGAGGTGCAGGCTGGAGGGTCAGGACTTCAAAGTGTCCTTGGCACTGTAGTGAGTCTGAGGCCAGCTGCAGCCATCGGAGACTAAAACGAAACCAAGAAGGAGTTACTTCACATTATTTTGTGCTAGGGTTCAAGGAGATAAACTATATTTTAAATGGTTAGAACAGCACATACCAAGTCACAAAACACTCCTTAGATAGTGATTGAGGTTGCTGTCTCTTGAAGGAAGGGGTAGAAGAGGATTTGCCAGGGCTCGAAGGCTGCAGATGGCAGAGGATGTAAGTGGGATGCTTGATGCCCCCCCCCCCCCCCCCCCCACCCCCCCGCCCACACACACACAGAAAGGACCCTAAGGGATCAACAGGTTCCAGCAAAGAAAACTTGATACCAGAGATGGGGATTGAGAAACTCATAGAAACTGAGCCTGAGTCTTTCTTTCCTTCTCTCTCTACCTCCTTCTCTTCCTTCCTTCTTCCCTCCCTCTGCCCCTCATTCTCACCCTCTTCCTCCTCTTCCCACCAATCAGTAGTTTCCATCATGTTGGCCTCATTTACTGTCTGTCTGTGTGGTGGCAAAGTTGGCTACTATGGTGAGTGTCTTTCACTGCCAACTTTCCTGGGCTTGGGCTCACCTGGTAAGCACATCTCTAGGCATGTCTTTGAAGGTGTTTTTCCAAAAAAGATGAATGGAGGAAAGAAGATTCAATCTGAATGGATGACACCATCCCATTGGCTACTGTCCCAGGCTTAACAAGAAGGGGAAAAGTAAAAAGCCACCCGGTCACCCGTATTTCTCTTTTTCTAACTGATCTGCCCACATGTGAGCAAGCAGCCGCTACAGCTGTGCCGTCCTCATCATGAACCTTAAACCACAAGCCACACAAACTCTTTCTTCCTTACTTTGTTTTCGTCTATGATTTTGTCACAGTATGAGAAAATAAACTAAAAGCTCTTCACTGATATGATACTTATAGTCACCATCTCTAAAAAAACGTTGCTACCTAATTTTAACCTGAGCTCCAGGAAAAAAAGCCAGGTGCAGAACCTAGTCCATAGGTTGTGGGAATCACATTGAATAAAACAAGAGGCCTTCGTGTTTGGTGATCCCTGGGAAAGTCCTGCCCCTTTTAGCAGCAGTTATAGTGAATGGGAAGCAATGGACATACAGCACCGACTCACACAGCATCCCTATGATCTGCAGACCATTATGTTATTTACACACACAGCAGCCAAGATTCCAGGGTGCTTTGCTTAAATGCCACCTTCCCGGGTACTGATGAAACTAGTGTTCAAGCTCAGATTGGATTCCAGAGCCTGTTATTTTCTTCCATCCGCCCCTCTCTGTGGTTAGTGAGCAAAGGTAAGTGGTGCTTTGTCTAAGAAACACTGCTTCCCTTTCCTATTCTTCTTTCCTCTCATGGACTATATTCATGTTTCACTTCACTTATGGTAGCTGTAATCATTTTGATAAAAAGACAAACACACCATAACTTAAGATGTGTTTAGATGACGCAGATATGATAGCAGTGGTGGCGAGTTCTTAGCCACTGAACCATCCCTCCAGCCTCAATGATAACAGCCCTTTGTGCTAGATTAAGTCTGCTTTTCAAAGCAGCCAGTCAGCTCTACTAATAACTAAACTCTATTTCCAATACTACTTGCTCTTGGGTTTATTAATGCCTGTGAAAGGTACTCATAGGCCTTTAGTAAAGATTTTCTTATATTAACTTGATGTAGTTCTGGCTGGAGGTAGCAGGTGGGAGGGTGCTGGTGATAGTCACCTGATCAGAAGGTCAGCACTGCTGAAACTTTTTTGCTTGAAGAAATTGTAAAAAAAAAAAAAAAAAATTATAAAAAACAAACAAACAAAAAACCAAAAATAAAAAATAAAAAAACCCCACAGGCATTTGCATTTAAACTGCTTTGTCTTATTGTGATGGGATTCCAGAATTTTCTTCAGCACACTTTACTCAAAGTCACAGGCTGCCAGTGAGTAAGAACCTTTGGTTGATAAGCCAGGCAGTGGTGGCACACACCTTTAATCCCAACACTCAGGAGGCAAAGATGTGGATCCCTGAGATTGAGGCCAGTCTGGTCTATAAAACAAGTTCCAGGACAGTCAGGGCTAGACAGAGAAAACCTGTCTCAAAAACAAAAACAAACACCCCAAAAGCCAAACAGAAAAAGATAGAAACTTTGGTTGAAAGTTGGAGAAAACTTGACCCAGACTCAGGTCGCTGACTAGCAGGGCTGAGGGCCAGCACCTGGACTTGGGCACGCCACTAAAGCTTAATGGATGGTCGGAACATTTACTGTCCACCACGAACAATGCGAAATGCCACCAGACTAATTCTGGGGCCTGTAGTATTGGAGTCGGGGTGTCAGTCAGCCACCACAAAATTCATATCATGTAAATGCCTCTAAAGTTACAGTGTGCTTGGCCTTCTTTTATCTAAGTAATTACAGCTTCTCAAAATGAACGGAGAGCATGGCCCATGAGAGGGAAGGAAGGAGAAGCAGTGTTTCTTACTCCAATAGTGTTGGGATCATTGAAGAAAACTGGTGATAAGGTCTAGCAGGGTAGGCTGATGGTTATAATTTTCCTGGGGCTAACAGGCCACAGGTGGAATTACCCTGGTCCACAGAGTCCTTCTTTGCTCTTTGGTAAGTCTCTATGGAATTTATGTAGAATGGCAATTATATATGAATTCAGATAATCATAGGTAGGCATACACTTAAAGAAAACAAGTAGGTCTGTGAAGAAATGAGAGTGGGAAAAGGTATTTGTTTTGGACTCCACCTGGGAACACAAGGGCAGGTGTGAAATTCTTTGTTTTCAAAGACCCAGAACCTCAATGGCAGTAGATAAACATCTCTGTCAACAGGGAACTACAGTCATCTGCCTTTGCACTGAGGAGGTTGTTTTTTTTTTTTTTTCTCCACCATCCACAACATTGATTGGTTTTGAAGGATAAACATCCATGTACATCTCTTTCACACACATGTGCATAGTCGATCCATGAATACCCAATGAACCTGAATTCAACCCTATATTATTATATTGTAGACATTTGTGGCATCCAGAGATTAATTTGAAATTTAGGAAACCCTGTTTTCTGTTTTTGATTTTTTTTTTTAAGGAAGTAAGTTTTGCTTCGATTTTGCAAAGCGAGACCAGAGCTCTCACTTACCACAGACCCTCTCAAATTAAGGGGACTTATCTAGGACTGAAGCCAATACCAGGCTCCAGTTAAATTAGCACACACCACTGAATTAGAAGTTTAGTGTATGGGCAGCACACCTAACTGGTAGGTGTTTTCCATGCGAACTGTAAGGCGGGAGGTTTCATCAGGCCGGCTGGGCTCATCCGCGTGGGACACAGTACTGTGGGAACTGAAAGCAAAGGAGGAAACAATAGTAATCAAGATCATCACAAATGTTAACAACACATAATATTGCTTTAAGGGAGTATGTGTGCATACACAGAATCCACTGAACGTTTCCAATAAACCCCATATAAATAGCCCAATGGCATATTTAAAGTCTGAAACACTTCAGAGATGGGAATGCTGAAATGTAGAGAAGTTCCTGGGGCGGAGTCTCAGGGTCATGGTGAAAGTCCAGAGCAGGTGCTCCTGGGCTGATCTATGTAGTGGAGTGCCTGTTCCAAAAGCCATCGCCAAGGGAGTCCCTAACAAAGACACAAAAGCATACCCCACAGTAAACAAAGCTCACAAATGGCACTTGGGGGTGTCAAAAGAAGCTTACAGTGTTGGGAAACAAATCCGTACACACAAAGGGCATTATACAAAGCTCACTGTGATAAGTTCCCCCAAATCCCTTCAGAATAAAAAAGAAATGGGAAACTCAGCCATCTATATGGTGAGAGAAACCACAAGTCACCCATACTGTAAGAGTCAATCAATGTCAGCTGCCTTTTCAGTGTGAAGGACTGGTCTCCAAGGCAATCTGAGCTGATCCAGGTGCTGAACGAGAAAGCCAAGCAAGGAGGAGCCCCCAGTGGGCCTCTGGCACCCTGTAATTCAACCTAGCTCAGAGAAAACCAAGTGGGACTAATGAACCTACATCGCTCTACCCCAACTTCCCTCCACCTGTGAAGATGGAGGTTAAGACAGATGCCATTTCAAAGGCAATGATGTAACCCCTCCCGTCACTCTG